CTCTCTCTCTCTCTCTCTCTCTCTCTCTCTCTCTCTCTCTCTCTCTCACACACACACACACACACCCCTCCCTGAGTCAGTGAGCCTCTCTTTCCCAGAAAGCTGCTCAAATAACATTCCTAAAGCTCATATTGGACCATGCCATTCTTCTGTTTAAGAAGATTCAGGGGCTGCCCATAGAATCTAATACAAACTCTTCTGTTTGGCATTCAAAGTTCTTCACAATTAAAAAGAAAGAATATTTGAGAGATGTTGCAAAGGTGGAATAGACAAGCAAGCATTGACAACAACTTGGATATTGGGGGGAAGGGGAAGGGAGAAGAGTAAAAGAAGAGGCGAGATAGTGAGGAATCCAGGATGACTCCTAGGTTTGGAGTAACCCAACTGTAACATGGAAGGTAGGAGGGAGGGAGGGTGGGTTTGGGGGAAAAGATAATGAGTTCTGGTTTGGATATGTTCGGTTTAAGATGCCTACTGGACATCTAGTTCAAGATTATCTGAAAGGCAGTTGGAGATATGAGACTGGAGGTCAGCAGAAATATACGTGCAAGACAGATAGACAGGAGGAATATCATCTACTTCCTACCTAATCAAAGTATTCCCAATCTGATGTCGTATTTCATTCCACTCCTCCTTGCTCTTTCGAGGCCAAGAGTTTAAGCCCAGGTCTGATTCACTAGGTTTGCTATTCAACTTCATGGCAAGAGTATCTTTCCTCCTCACTTTGTTAGCCAGAGCACCTGGAGAATATAGAGGAGACAGAAGAGGGATGGTTAGTTTGAGAGCTAGTAGCTTACCTGGAATGAGGCACTCAAAGAGAACCCCTACCCTGCCGACTTTCTCCATAACCAAAAAGGATGTAGATATGGCTCTTCTGTCAGGAACACAAAGGCATGATGTAAAACAGGGTAACAGGAAGCCATCACTTTGTTCAAATGGGCACAGAGGAACCAAAAAGAACTTTAAAGGTACTGAAAGGATCAGGTCCCAAAAATCTTTTTCCTATTCTTCCTTTTCTCTCTTCTTGAGTGAGGAGAGAGTCTGAATTATATATAGCTATCTCAAACAGATAAATATTTGCTGGGAAAACCTCTTACATTGGATTTCTTTTTGGTACTCAATTACATGCTAGGAAAAGACCTGGTATGTCCCCACCCAAGTGCTTTGTCTGGGACGACTGAAAATGAAGCAAATACTGGGAGTAGCATTTACAGATTCCTTTGAGTTGGAGATTAAGGTGAAAAATCTTGCCATATTCCTGTAATGGAACAAGCCTTAATAGAATAAATGCATCTTACAGAAAATTACTTCTAATATGAGAAGCTCCAAAATATGTAGAAACAGGGAGAGAGGTAAAGGAGGGGGAAAAGAGCTTGCTTACAGAAAAACTGCAGGAATATAACCCTTCCCAAATAGGGATAAATGGAAGATATTAGGGCTTCCCTTATTGGGCAGCCAGGAAAAACGGAGACAGTTGATCAATTCCAAGGCCGAGAGATTTGGTTGGAATGATGTCCTTTCCATGTCAACTTGCCCCCATCATTTTTTTTTTTTGACCAGAGCTACTTTCTAACCCTTCTGTCTTTTAAAAAAATAAGCTTTGGTATATTATCCAATTGTTTATACATGCTTTTTAGCTCCTCCAAGCATGCTGCTGTGATGAAACAGGAGCAAGCACCACCTGGGAAGGATCATTGTGGGGGAGAGATCAGGGCTCTCATTTTATGGATGTCAGAAACTCCCTTTCTTAATGGAGGTCAGTAACTGCTATGCAACTGGCTAACAGGTCTGACTGAGGGTATGGAGAGGGCGAAGGCCTGCCCAGGACTGTATGGCTAGTACAGGTTTAGAGGGGGCATGTGGGCAGAGGCTTTGCTGTTCTCTATACTTAGGACATGTTGCCTCATGTGTCATAGGAAGTCTACATTCTAGCTTACTTTTCATCTAACTACCGGCGCTGCCAAAGTCCCATACAATCACCCCACAACAGTACCACATAAATACAAACTCTTAAGTCCAGCCAACCTCCTTCAACATGCTACCAAGGGGAGACACATCAAGACCACGTGAGAGGAGTTCAGGAGCGACATACTGTGGCTACTGAGACCACAGTCAGTCTGACTGATGAGAAAAACGCCATCCGTCCCCCGTCTATGCAAATGCTCCCCTTTCTTACTGTGTTGGCTTTCGTCTTCATCTTCTTCATCTCTATACAAAATGGGGCCCTCCGAGTCGGAGTCACTCCCCTTTTCCTCTTCCTCCTCCTGCACACACTGCGGTATGAGCTTAGGAATGACTGCGGTAGATGCCGCATCTCCAATGTAAGTTGATGGACAAGGTTGATCACCTTCCTCTTCTTCTTCATCGTCTGGACTAACAAATTAGCATAATTATTTTTTTCTAGAACAAGCCAATTGATTATATATCAGAGGAAAATTCTAAAAACTGAGCAACAAGCCCTAAAAAATGCTCACCAGCATCAAATACTTAAGCTAATTTCCTCACTCATCTGTAACAGTTTTTCTGAGAAACTCCTACCTAGGCTTCTCTTTCCCCTAGACTATCATGATCTCTACAATTCACTATAGTGACATATGAGACTGTTCTGGTTTCTAGGAAACTGTAATAGAGCAAAATACTGATCGTGTCTAAGGAAGAAGAGAAGGCAATGAGATGAAAAATCAAGTTTTCCTCTCCTAATACTGCAGGTTTAACATTATTATTCACACACTAATGCACTGGTGGTGGAGTTGTGAAATGATCCAACCATCGTGGAGAGCAATATGGAACTATGGCCAAAGGGCTATAAAAGCACGGATACCCTTTGACCCAGACTAGACCATTACTAGGTCTGTATCCTAAAGAGATAAAAAACAAAAAAGAAAAGGACCTATATGCACAAAAATATTTATAACAGCTCTTTTTGTGGTGGCAAAGAATTGGATATTGAAGAGATGTCCATCAACTGGGGAATTACTGAACAAACTGTGATATATGATTGTGATGGAATATAGTGAGATGACAAGCAGGATACTCTCAGAAAAACCTGGACTTATATGAACCAATGCAAAATGAAATAAGCAGAACCAGGAGAACACTGTACACAGTAACAGCAATACTGTACAAGGATCAATTGTAAATGACTTAGCTATTCTCAGCAAAACTATGATCTAAGAGGATTCCAAAGGACTTATGATGAAAAATGCTGTTCCACGTCCAGAGAAAGAACTGATGGAGTCTGAATGCAGACTGAAGCACACTCTTTTCACTTTCTTTATTTTTCTTTTTTTTTTTTGCTTGTGTTTTCTTTCAAAACATGACTAACATGGAAATATATTTTGTATGACTACACATGTAAAAACTATATAAAATTGCTTGCCTTCCCAAGGAGGGGGAAGGGGAAGGAAGGAGAGAATTTGGAATTCAAAGTTATTAAAAATTATTTTTCATGTAACTGGGAAAAAACAAAATATTAAGATAAAAAAAAAACTCCATTATTATTCAGTTTATTTTAAGCTCCCAAACTGCCTCTTTACCTATCTTGGAGGGCCTGAGATAATACTCGTGAATACAAATGATACAGCTGAAGAAAATGACCTATTGAATGGTGGAACCGAATGTCTTTGTATCCCTGACAATGCTCTCTAGAGATGAGCTCATTATAAAATCTTCAACGCCACCAAATGATGTGAATCCACAGTCAAAACTGTTCTTAATCCTTGTGGGGAATGGGCAAACCATGCAAGAACAAACACTGGCTTGAACACAATGTTTTAAATGTTGGCAGGAGGGATCCAGAGACACAATTTTGCTTGGGGAAAGTTGGAAACCAAAATCTTTCCTAATTAACAGTGAGGTGGTTGACTCTGCACTTGCAGAGGGGCTTGCAACTTTTGGGCTAAACTAAAAAGCTCCACCAAGGAAGGGATGACTGTAGGGAAAAGACCCAAAGCAGTGGGCCTTGTTAGAACATGTTCCCTTGTTAAAACCAAGAAAAGCTTATCTATCAACATAAACCTTTTAAAATTCTGTACATAAGAAATCAGAGACATTTTTGAGCACTGTCAATATGGGAATTTGTTTTGACTATGCATGCATATTTATTCTGAAGGCTTAGTTTTTTGTATTTTTATACTGGAGAGATGTGAGGAGAAAAAAATAAATGTTTGCTTTTAAAATGCACTGAAAAATTAATTTAAAAAATTATCTTCACGTAGATTTTTATAAGAAACAGAAAGAATACATGTAGTAGCTAGAGAGGTAGACTCAGAATCAGAGAGACCCAGGTGAAGTCCAACCCTCCAAGTTAAACACTGACGAGGTCACTGTGGGCAAGTCACCTGAACTTTGAACACCCCAAGTAACTCTCTAAAACAAGGGCCCTTAATCTGGGGAGTAAACTTTTTTCTAAAAATATTTTGGTAACTATATCAATACAATTAGTTTCTTCTGTAATCCCATGCATTTTATTTTGTGCACTTAAACATGTTATTCTGAACTTTTCTCAGACCATGGGGCAAAAGGGATCACAACACAGAAAAGGTTATGAAGTCTTGCTCTGAGGAGGTTAGCTGGCACAGTGGATAGGGCACTGGCTTTGAAGTATGGAGGACCTAATTGAAATCCAGTCTGAGACACTTAGGAGGGGGAGAGAGAGAGAAAGAGAGAGAGAGAGAGAGAGAGACACAGAGACAGAGAGAAAGAGAAAGAGACAGAGCCAGAGAGACTTGGGAGGGGGGGGGGGGGGTGGCACGGCACAGAGACCCCTCCTCTAAGATATTCCTAAGAAGATTAAATCACTAGCCTGGCCAAAAAGAAAATTCTTTACAAGCTAATTATTCTAAATAGCAAGATATTTATGTACATTATTACAATTCTTCCCTTAATGCTAACTTGAGAAGGAGAAGTGTAGATTTTATGAAAGACTTAAATGGCACTCACACTTTAAGCATTTCAATGGTGACAGGGAGCGACCTGGTCCGACCCAGAGTACCACTGTCTTCAGAAAAGCCTTTGCTGTTCTCAAACAGCAAGGAATGAGCCCTCTGAGACTCCTCCAGTGGCGGGGTGATGGGCAGAGGGGAAGTCAGGGCTTGCTGGATGCGGATGTGTAGTGGTAGTGGGGGAAGACGAGAGGGTAAGAGGGACTCTCCAAAGCCCTGGTCAGGCGTCCTCTTGGGCACTTCCAAGACCTGATCTTCCACTTGAGGGATGTCTGGGGGTAGTTCTAGGGAGGGTGGGTGCTCAATTTCTGGCACCATTTGAAGAGTCTTGGGAGGCAATGGAGGAGAACATGAGGGTTCAGGAGGTATATGAGTAGGCAGAGGGGGAGAAGGGGAGGGAGGCGGGATCATCTGGACTGAATTGGAGGCAGAGGAACTGATCCCCTCTCTCTGACCATTTGAAGGTTTTGTCGTGGTGGCAGCAGACTCCAAGGAAGGCATCAGAGGAGGCGGAATCCCTCTCTTGGGTGGTAAAGGTGGGGATGGTTTTGCTAGCAATGTGCCACTGTTGATTGCTTGTGAAAGTTCAGCTGTAAAGAGAAGAGAAACACCTTAGTTTAACTTGGAATTTAGAGATGGAGATAATCAGGATAGGCAATGGTCCTAACTACTGCAACAAAAGGATATAAATCTTAGTCATTTAGGCAAATTACCAAATTTCATAAACTTATTAGTTGCTTTAGAAATTTTCATTCCCAAGCAAAATTCACCAAAAAAAGTTGGGAAAGATAAATTATAAAGATTTCTTAGAAAAGTTCTTCCTATTTCCAAGACACTGTGTAGATGGTAAAATTTCAGTTTTAATATCCAAAATAACAGAGTAGGTAAACAGTTTTTGTTCTGATATTGATTTAGACAAAAGTGGCTGATTAAGTGTGAATGGGTCAGAAAGACAAGGAGTTCCTCTGGTGATCCATTCTTCTGTAATCAACGAAAACAAAAGGGCACAATAGCAAAACAAATGCTAGAAGAGGAGTTAAGCAACCTACTCAGATATTTTCCATTTGCAAAAACATCTTGCATTTACATAACACTTTTCCTAGCAGAACTTCCAAGTGCACACCCATATTATTTGATTAACTGAAGCTGTAAGGCTACACAAGGGTAGACATTATCAGGGCCATCTTATAAAAGAAGAAACTGAGGTTTACTGAAGTTAAGGGATTTGCCCACTAGCACAGGGTCAATGAGAGCAGAGTCAGAACTAGCAGGGAAGCCTCCAGATTCCCATTTCCTCCATCCACAAGTTCACACCTGCCTCTTGCATTCTCCACTATCAATAGTTACTCAGGTCCATATACCGTATCAAGAGTTCATGGATTCCAACGTGTGCTGTTGTTCAGTCATTTCAGTTGTGTCCAACTCTCTGTGACCCTATTTGAGGTTTTCTTGGCAAAGATACTGGAGTGGTTTGTCATTTCCTTCTCCAGCTCACTTTACAAATGAGGAAACTGAGGCAAACAGGGTGAAGTGACTTGCCCAGGGTCACACAGCTAGTAAGTGTCAGAGGCCAGATCTGAACTCTAGATAAGCACCAAGCCTGGAGCTCTCTCCACTGTGCCACTTGGCTGCCCTACAACGATGTGTATTCCCGCACAATTCCCCAGGGCTCTTTCTAGCTCCAGTGCTCTCACAATTCCAGAAAGATCCCCTAGAGAAAATGTTTCAAGGAAATTTAGGAAGTCCCCAGAAACATATAACATATAACATATCCAGGGTTTGCCTCCACTAAAAGAAAAGTGTTCAGAAGATGGCAGTCTAGCGCTATTCTGTCTTTTCCTACTACCTCCTAATTCCTCTGGAAGCCCACTCAACACTTGTAACTCATCCCTCACAGCATCCACTTCCCTCAAGTAGCTCCTCAGTGCCTGCCCAACACAGACAACCCCTCGATCCACACTCCCTGGGAATCCAACAGAGAGCCAAGTAAAAACCTTGCCCAAGACTTTGTCTTCGTGAAAATAACACACCAACTATCAGGCCGTGGTTGCTACTGCAATCCAACTAAACATCACGTTACGTCGTGTCCACCATATTCAAGCTGCCATTGTTCAGTCAGTCATTCCAGTACTGTCCAACTCTTTCTGACCCCATTTGGAGTTTTTGTGGCAGAGATACTGGAGTGATTTGCCATTTCCTTCTCCAGCTCATTTTGCAAATGAAGAAACGGAGGCAAACAGTGTAAAGTGATTTGCCCAGGGTCACACATGGAGTGTCTGAGGCTGGATTTGAACTTGGGTCTACCTGATTCCGGGCCCTGTGCCACCTACCTGTTTCAATATCCAGGTGAATAAAAATTATGCAAACACTTTCTCAAGCCACGTGTTTCCAAAATTACTTAATGAAACTCTCAAATGCAGGGCATCCTTGACAAGAACATTAGAAGCTGGGGGGAAAGATTTTATAACTCTTAGCAAGCTATCAAAATGTTATCAGTAACAATGGTCTTTCTCTAGGTCTTTTGATAGTTTAGTGAACACCTGTGCAAGGATGGGGTGTCAACTTTGCTAGTGGAAGTAATTCCAGAAGCTATTAACAAGAATTCTGAAAAATATGAGAACTGTTAACCAAAAACGGAGATCAAGTATTCTTCTATTTTGGTTTTGGACTAGGAGTTCCTTATATGACAAAAGGGATATGGTGCAGAGGAGGTTTTCACGTCTAGTTCAGGGAATTTCATGCCACTCTCCTTCTATCTGAAATTTCTACTTCTGGGCTCATAGTAAGATTGAAATATTTCTGGGTATCACAGAAACCAGTGCAGTACATTGTTTATATTTGGAGTCAGGATTTAGTTCAAATCTAGGCTCTACCAGTTCACCGCCCTTATGAACTTGGAAGTACTAACACAGAATAATAAATGGAGAGTTGGCTGTGGAATCAGTAAGACCTGGGTTCATGATTTATCTCTCACATACACTGGCAGGGTGACCTTGGGTAAATCACTTAACCGCTCAATGCTCCAGGTAAATGCAGAGAAGGGGCTGATGGGCATTAGTAGAGGGATGGACTTCACCAGGCCTATGTCAGTGAAATGACCATCCCAGTCTCAGTCCCAGTCCAGGGGCCTAGAGTTCCTTCATTTTAAACTAAATGGGACTGGTTTAGAGGACCTCTTAAGTCGGCTGCTGCACTAAATTGATGACTGTATGATGAATAATGAGATCACAGCCCCAACAAAGTATCAAATTCAATATTAGAGTAACACTATGTATGCGTTTGTAGGGAGAGGGAGGGAAGGAAAGCAGGGACTTGAATAATCTGGTCCTTGGCCAGAAAGGTTATGGACTCAAAGGGACTCCAAGAGCTCACCCAGAACTACCCCTTTCTATGGCATCATAGAGCAGTTTGTGAGGGGGCCAATAACAGGCTGCCTGGAACCCTGCCCTTTCTATGGTGTGATGGAGCAGTGCGGCAAGGGACTCTGCCCTTTATGCCAAGGACATGTGCTGCTGGGCCGCTAAGTCTCTCCAGCTGCCCCCTTTAGGAAGCTGCAGCAGAGATGAAAGAAGAAATCCCTGGACTGGGAGGGCGAAGTCACCTATGTGACTCTGGATACGGCAGTGAGGTTTGGGGTCTCCAATTTCCCGCCCTCACAGAACAGACAAAGACTTCTCTTCCTGTTCTGTATTGGCAAGAGCACTGGACTTGGGAATAAGGAAACCTGGAATTGAATTTGTAACTTTAACCTTGATTAGCTGTGTGACCAAAGGCCAGCCGCTTCCACCCACTGTTTCCTCATTTGTAAAAATGGGAAAATACCTGCCCAGTTTTCCTCAGAGAGCTGCTGTGAGGAAAGCTCAGCATCAATGGAGCTTTTAGAGAAAGAATATATAAAAGCTCTTTGAATCTTAAAGGGCATGGCACTTGATAAAAGCAAAGCAGGGATGACAAACCATCTGTAACTTGTTCCTACTCCCCCTCCTCCAGCCACCCCACCCCACTTGAAGGTGTTGGCAAGCTTAACAAACTCAATTTCTATTCCCTAATTATTCGTAAAAACTTTCAAGCTGAGGAAGCTGAGGAGCTATTTCCTCAAAAACCACCCTAAGCACTGCACCCTTTCCCCCTGGCTCTGAATTACTGATTAAGAAACCCTTCAACCAGCTCTGGCATTCGTGGACACTGGATTTAAAAGAGTCCGAAATAAATGTGAAAATGTTCCATTCTGTCACTTAATAATTAAAAAATGACTACCCTTCATGAAGGAAGTACTGCGGCAAAGTGAAAACAAACACAATAACAACACCCCACAGTAGGGAGATTGTGTTTCCAGACATAGTCTTTGTTATTTACTCAGAACTAGGTGAGCGTTAGTCCCAGCCTCTTCGGGTCCAACCTGCTATGTGAACACACCCATTCCCAGAGCTGGTTACAAGGATTATTTCCTCTTTTTCTACAACAGCCCAGAGGCAAGTGGAGGGAGCAGAGGCTGGAAAAAAGGCAAGAGGAAGGAAACCAAGAAAGGAGGACCTCTGAGGACTCAAAGAAGCAGAAGCCTCCAAACACGGAAGGCACCTCAGAAGTGATCTACCCAACCAGTGAGAAGCATTGTTTCTGCTTACACCATCCCCTGACAGATGGTTGTCTAGCCTTTGCCTGACACCTCCTAATTACAGGGGGTTCAGCACCTTTCAGAGCAGCCCAGTCTCCTATCTGCCCAACTACAGCTACAATAGGTAGGCAGTTTTCCCTTAAGCTGAGTCTAAAACTTCCCTCCAAATTCTATTTCTTGACACAACATGGAATCAGTCCAATACCTCTTTCTCCTGAAACAGCCCTTCATGTATTTGCGTCTAACGACCATTTCCCACCACCCCATTCCTATTCTCATCCAGCTGCCCATTCTTTTCTTCTTCAAGGGGAAACAATGACGTATGGGTCATTATTATTAGGTAGATTTTCACTCCCACTGTTAATTTTTAAATGACTGAAATCCTTCTGTAACACATGTATTTGTATGTATAGTTTTATATATGTTTAAGATAATATTTGTTAGTCTGTTTTTAGACTAGCCAGTAGGTTACTTGAAAGCTAGGTCCATAAGTTACACATTATATACAGTCCAGGTGGGCTCAGCATATAAGTAGGGTTTAAATGTCAGTCAATTAAACATTTTCATTTATCTGTAACGAGAGGCAGCACAAACCAGGAAAGCTATGGAGAAGTCACAATAAAGGTAAGTATTTTAAAAGCTTCTCAAAGATAGCTTAATTGCAATCTTCAACCTTCATTTAGGTGCTCAGGTATATCAGTTCTAATCCAAGCTTCAAGAGATAGGGTTCCTGAAACCAGGGAGTCTTACAAGGGTAGATATTTGATAAACTGAGATGAATTCACAAATGATCCAAGCTCTATTTAAACTTAGGCTTTTAAGTTAGTAAAATCAAGTAGAACAGGTTCAACACAACACCCCTCATTTATTACTGGATCACTGATCAACACAATTCTGACCATTTTCCAAATAATAATTCTTAGGATCCTAATGAAGGTGGGGAGGGACAGCAGATCAGGGACTGGGAACTTACAACTTCTAGTCCACAAGTGGCCCTGTAGGTCCTCAAGTGCGGCCCATTTGACTGAATCCAAACTTCACAAAACAAATCTCCTTAATAAAGGGAATTGTTCTGTAAAACTCAGACTAGGTCAAAAGGCCACACCCAAGGACCTGGAAGGCCACAAGTGGCCTCAAGGCCGCAGGTTCCCCACCCCTAGATAGGTCATCGGGCTCAACACCGAATGTGACCAGGAATCTTCTCTAAATCAGTCCTGCTCTAGCCTCTCTTTGAAGAACTCCAGTGATGGGGAATGCAAGATACTTCTTAGGAAGTCCCCCCCACCTTTTCTCCTTAGCAAGTTTTTTCATCAGGTTGAAAAAAATAAACTACTCTTAATTTCTTCCCCATGCTCCTTCTCAGCCAGAATTACAGCAACCTAAAGGATGCCAGCTGGGGGCTCATAACATGACTTTTTATTTTCCCTGCAATGTTCTAAATGAAACCTCAAATATTAATGATTGCATTAGTCATTCATATCATTTACATATGTTTATACATTTAAGTCATCAGGGTAACGCATCTGAACCCTCAAAAACACTTATTAGCCAAAAAGAAGCACGGTTATGGCTAAATCTTCTGGCCCCACGACTCAGTTTTCATACCTAGACAAGTTTTCAAAAGTTTTCTCATATTTAGGTAAATTAAAAAACCAGCTGTATTACATACACATTTGTGAACATGTACACAAAAGTGCTGTGTACATATAACAGTAAAATACTTTAAAAACAAATCCGTTTTTCTCTTGTTAATGACCGATAAAATTTCCCTAAGCTGTGCCAGATGACAGCCTGAAGAGTCACTTACCAATAACAGGGTTACTATTTCTGTTAGCTGGTTTAGGGGGAGGGATGGGGGGCTGCTTGGCAGGGGCAGTGTGGGTCATATTCAAGGTAGCGGTCGTGTTAGTGCTGACAGGAACAGCAGGCAGAGTCCTGGGAGCTGGGGAAGGGGTGCTGGAGGAACTAACTGTCTTTGCTAGGCCTGGGGTTGCAGTGCTGGCAGTAGGTGCTGTGGAGGAGGAGGAAGAAGTGGAGGAGGAGGAGGAGGAGGAGGAGGAAATGGTCCTTGCAGTGCTGCCGCCAGCGACGTCATCTGCTTGCCCATCACTTTCTTCCTGAGAAGATGACAAGGGTCTTTTGGGTCGGGGTAAAAGCGGCTTGGGTGCTGGCTCAGGAATGGGTTCCAATTCAGAACTGAGTCGGCTTCCGGATGAGCCTGTGGAAGAAAATTATTGTTGTTTTGTTAAAGGAGAACAGATTTGGTGGAGACGGAAGGCATCATCTAGATCAGGGAATTAACGCATTCAGACACGGATGACCCAAGGCTCTTTACAAGCAACACCTCCTTATTCTTTCCTCCCCACTTCTGCTACCATTTGGCTGTTTCTCTTCTCAATAACTATGTCACCAGAGTGGAGGCAAGAGGAATGATCATGGTAAAATTCCACTGAACTCTGTTCTCACTTTCACCATCAGCCAGACACATTCAGGGTTTGCCGCCCCTGTCCCTTTGAAGTTCTGCTTCAAACCCAGAGCCCGACACAACAATATGCTCACCTGGCTGCGTCTTTGGTTCCTCTCCTGGAAGAGGCTTCTTAAACCTTGATGTCCTTCCTAGCTCCTCCTCCATCTGGCCAGGATTAGAAGGCCCAGCATTCCCGATAGGAATGGTATGGCCATTCTTTAATGAAGTATGGCTGAACTTCCCAGAATCTTCTCCACCTGTTAGGCAGAGAGAAAAAGAAGCCAAAATGAAGAAACCAACAATAAGTCTATGGGGAGAAAAGCCAGTGTTGTACAATCTTTCTCACACCATACATTTTACTGATGTTAACTCCATTTTAATCTAAGCCCCGTGGAAGAATGATGCCGATTTTTGTCTTGGAAGCCTGATAAAAACAAGACTAAAGTAAGGAACCACTAGACTGCATGTGTGAGTATGGAACCTCCTATGATTCTGGTATAAAACCATGTATTGTCCCAAAGACAACAGAAGGTTATATATGCCACGGAGAGATTCTCCCAGAAAACAACTGGGTTCTTTGAGGGGAAGAGAAAGGAATAAAAGAGACCCAACTCCTGGAAACCTCTCATTCTGCTGGCAGAATCACGGGGACGTGCCCTGTGGGTTTTGCAAGAGCTGGCCTATTCCAGCTTTTGTGGGTATCAGAAATTTGAGGGACGTGTACCACAGCACTTCCGAAAGCAGCCCACCCTGCCAATCATAAAAAACGCTCCTCTTTCCCATCTGCTAACAGGGAGCTGGAGAGCAACCATCACACTTCAAACAGCCCGAGGATGGGTTAGAAAGTGATTATGGATAGCAGAAGCAGGCAGCCAGTATATTAAAATATACTTTACAAATTAGTCTTTTTCTCATAGTTTAGGTACCCAATAGAGAGCAGGAAATCTGGGGCAGCTGCAAGCACCTTGGGTCAGGAAATATGGGTTCCAGTCCCAGCTCCTCGCCAATGTGGCTATATAACCTGGGGTATATTGCTTTTCCCTTCAAGGCTTCATATTGCTAAGAAAAGGGGAGTGGATTAGATGATCTCTGAGGTCCTGTCCAGCAATTAAGTTTCTCTGATTACATTTCCAGAGGATTTCTCCATTTAAAAAAGTAAAGGAAATATGACAATCAAAAGGCAAAAAGAAAAAAAGTCACACCTCTATTATTAGGGCTGTGGAGTTTTTAAATATACAGGAATACAACACAAAATAATCATTAACTTCAAAGCAGCAAAAAAGTATGAATTTCATTACTATGAGAGGAGAAACTGACCATCTGCTAAAACCCTTTTTCTTTAGTGGATATTCTAAAGATTCCATTTCCAAAGGTATTTCATTTAAACAATTCCAACATGAACTGCCAACGCCGGTCTCCAAATAACTGTTACTGCAGCACTTGCCAGCATAGAGACAAGCAGTTTGAATAAATGTGAGAGCAGCTCACAATTCTCTAATTCTCCTCCAAACATTCTCCTACTAACCCTATGAGGTTGAAAGGACAATGTTGCTATCTTCCCCTTTACAGAGGAGGAAAATGAGGCTCAAGCCCCACACCACCCACAAAGTGTGAGGGCTGGGACTTGAACCCACACCCTGCGACACTAAATCCAGGGCTCTTTTAACTAAAATCAGCTGCTTCTCCAGTGTTATAAATACTAAGAAAGGATCCATAAAATCTATGAAAAATTTAACATTATACAGGTCAAACCAGACTTACTGTAAAGCTAAAAAATAAGACACTCTCCCACCCCACCCCACCCCACCCCAGCACAGAGCCTGATGCCAATCCCTGTAGCAGGCCCCTGCTGGGGTGTAAAGCTGAGCAGATCAGATTCTGGGCTGGCCCCCTGCATCTTCAAGGCTCCAAACGGCTCACATCAAAAGCGAGAAGACATGGTGTGGAGGGCTGGCACAGAGTAACTAAAGATGAACCTGGAAATAAGGAACTGATGATAGAAGGGGTCTGCTGGGAACGACACAGGCAGAAGCCACAAGGAGGGTGGGATACCTCACATAAGAAATGAGGGACAAAGATCTACTCGAACTGAAACACGGGACTTGGAGTCTAACCACCTAAATCCCTAAAAGATTTCCTGATCACTACTGTGAATGAAATGGTTATGTACATTCAACAAAACTCAAATAAACTGCAATGACCACCTTAGTCTCAGAAAATGGAAGGTGAGACCCAATTCCCTTTTCTCAGGCATGTGTTGGTTGGTTTTGCTTATTATTATTATTTGGTATAGAGGGGTTCAATAAAGGGAAGGCATGATGACAGAGTGAAATGATTATAGTATATGAAAAGACATACGTAAAAACCTGAATAAAATTAACGATGCATTTATGAAAGAATGAGAGTCTTCAGGATGTAATAAAAAGAACTCTGAATTAAGGGTTTGAAGACATGGGTATCAATGTTGCCAATTAACTATTCAATTTTAGACAAGTCATTTTTTCTCTCTCTAGGTCTCAGTTTCCACATTTGTAAAATAAAAGAGGTTAGACTAGAAGACTTTTAAGGTCCATTCTCTCTCTAAAATTCCATAACTGCTCATTTTAATCAGAGACAAAAACCAGGAGTATATACTGGGACTTATCCGTCACTAACACTGGGAAAATAGACCTGGGATTTTTCATCACTAGCTTCTGTCAATTTTTGAGCTATATTATAGTGTTTTCAAAATCTGGTTTAAGAAGAATTTTACTTATAGTGTTCTGCTTTTAAAAAGTATTCAAAGTAAATGCAGTCATTTCCTTCATTTTAGATAAAAACATCTTAAGTCCCACAAAGAAGCAGAGCAACAAAAAGTCCTCTATTTACGTCAGACTTGCAGTAACGCATGAATCTCTGTGATAAACAAGCAGAGAAGGATGACAGTAACAAAGATGGGTGCAGATACACAGAGACAAAGGACAGGAAGCAACACCCAATACTGGAGCTGGCAAGGGGCAGGAGGATGTACGAGGCACTGTAGAATGCTTTCCTTGGGGAATTCTTGACCAGACGGGCTATCTACCAGGCACAGATTATCACCAGAGAAGGTAGGAATGTTGTTCTGATTTGGAAGGAGGTAGCAGTCAGCTGTATTCTTCAATTAAAGAACAAAATCCAGTTGCCAAAGGAGGACTCAACCCATGCCAAACACACACATGCAATTGATCAGCAAACTCACCATGCACAGGATCCTCCAACAGAAGCCCTCTTCTAACCAGCTCCTCTCTTGGCTTTCGCATGGATATTTTCCGCTCTAGAACTGATATTAAATTGGAAACTAGAATTCAGAACCAGGCAGTTATAGTTCAGCTTTATTCCATAGGCAAAAAAATTATGTGGTTCAATTAATCTTTCATACTCAGCAAGGGTCAGAGGGTCACCCAGTTGGCCTTAAGTTACTCAAAACTCAGGGGCCTTATTATTTCCCTTCCTCGTGCAAAGGGAGGGAGGAGAGCTGCTAGCTACTTAAGGTCTTTTCCAGTCTGGACAGTGTTCTAAGACTCTGTGTTTTAGCTCTGATTTTCTGTGTTCTCAGGTCCCCTCCAGGTTTCCTATTGTGTTCCATGGTCCCTTGCAGTTCTGGCATGCTATAGGTTTATAATTAGAATAGGGAAAATAAACTTTTATAATCCCTTATACTATGGGCAGCTAGGTGGTGCAGTGGATAGAACACTAGGTCTGGAGTCAAGAAGACCTGAGTTCAAATCAGATACTATCTGGGTGACCCTGGGCAAGTCACTTAAACCTGTTTCCCTCAGTTTCCTCATCTGTAAAATGAGCTGGAGTAGGAAATGGCAAACCACTCCAGTATCTTTGCCAAGAAAATCCCAAATGGTGTCATGAAGAGCCCAACACAACTGAAAACAATTCAATAACAACATACTATCGGGAGGAAAAGTGGTAAACATACTAGTATCATAATACTGTCACCACTTTATGAGTAAATACAAAGAACTTGACTCTTTCCTAGTTCTCCTCCCGCTTTGATCTTCCCTTTGAGACCACCTCCCATTCACACTGTATTTATCTTATAGACACACAGTTATTTTCATGCTATTTCCCTCATTCGAATGTACATTTCTTGAAGGCAAGGACTGTTTTGTTTTCTTTATATCCCTAGTGCTTAGCAAATATTAAATGCTTAAATAAATGCCTATTTACTAACTATTATTTTATTTGATCTGCCTAACTATCCTAGGATGTGGGCATTCTACTTCCTTATGAAGTTTTCTTTTTTAACTTAAATTTTGTAATATAATGTTTCTTTTAATGTTTTAGGCGGGAAATTTAAACTGATGCTGCTTGATAAATCAGTAACTCAATCCATTTAAACTCCAATTCCATCCAAATGCCAATCTCTGGAATGTGGGGCTACCAGTACCCATTGCTGAGTCAATGCCAATAACTACTTGCCTATTTAATTCCGGAGAGATTAAATTTCCCACCCCCACCAGGTGCTTACATGCAGATGGGGAGAAAAGGAAGAGTCTGAGCACTTCCAAAATAAAGAATGCCTTAATCTGAGCCATGAGGTCTTCTAACTCACCTTCTGATGTTTCTTTGAACTTGTCACTGCTTTTTTTTTTCCGCCACTTCCAGGGTTTGAAGATTTTGCCAAAGCCTGAGAACTTACTTTTCCTCTTGGTGGGTGGAGTAATTTCCCCAGATTCCAGGCCATCCATGACCATCCCGGGGCCCGCTGGGTGATGATCTGCTTCTTCTATAAAAGAAAGATAAAAAACGGAAAAGTGATTTTTCTATGTTCCCAAATATTGAAGACCTCCATTTTTTCCCTATGATTTCTGTAAAGTACAAGCATAAGCAAAACCAGTCTTAGGGTATGTCCCCAGCTTTTACATCTTCAAACCTAGCCTGAGCTCCATCATAAAGGAGGGAAAAGTTTTCTTTGAGTTCCCCTAGAGTTCTGTGCCCAGAGTCACTGGCCTATGGGTCAAAAATCCATTGAAGTATGACCACTATTAACAGTCTTCAGAGAACCAAGACAATATTTATTGCTCCTTCCTGGAGGTTACATATAGTCTCATGATATAGGAATAAGAAATGTTGACATTTACAAGATACTTTATTACTGACAAAGATACTGTCATAAATCATCCCATCTGATACTCTCTTGTCTGACAACAGTTTTGTGAAGTGGGTAGGAGGACGATAATCTCCCACACTTTAAAGATGAATAAACTCAGTGTCAGAGAGGGGCGACTTGCTACTAAGTGACAGAGCAGGAAATGAAGGCTGGTGTTCTGGGATCTTCTCTTTACACTCCACCACAGCTGTCCTCACAGCTGTATTGTTATGGTAACAATAATAACGTGGGAGAAATGCACAACCGCAAACCACTTATCCCCTTTCTTTTAGGAAGCAGGAACTGGCATTTGGTGTGATTTGAGGGGCTCCCAGGAGGGCACTTAAGAACCCCAAATTTGCTCCCCCCCATCCCCCAAAAAAGACCATAACTTCATATTAGCTAATGAACTCTTCTCATCCTTCTCTGTTAAAATAAAAATATTCACACAAAAGATACTAGCCTCAAACTCCCAGACTTTTAGGACAGAAGAGGCCATAGACCTACTCTAATGTGTCCACTGAAAAGACGAGGAAACTAAAGCCTGGGGAAGGGAATTAAGTTGATATGAATTTTTTATTGGTTCACTTTCCTCCACAAAAAGAAGTAGAGAAAGGTGAAAGAAGAGAGAAGGGGATGCATTTTTAAAAAGGGGAACAAGAAGAAAAATTGAGGCTTCCTAACTTTCTAGCTATAATTTTGTCCAGGAATGGCCCTGACTGTATTTTAATGAAAATGGATTAACAAAAATAGGAAAGATAACAAACTAGGAGTCAAAGAGACAGTACTGATTCTGACACCAATTTCTTGTGTGACTTCCAGCAAATCAATTCTCACTGGGCCTTGGTATCCTGATCTGTAAAGGGTGAAACAATCACCACCACCACCACCGCCATAAGAATATCAGTTGACATTGTAAGTTAACAAGGTAACATGCTTACAATTCCTCATAAAGATCCTGTGATATAAGTAGTGAGATATCCTTGCTTCACCACTGAGGCTCAGATCAATTAAGTAACTTACTTAATTTGCCGGGGATTCCCAAGCTAGTAAATGGCAAAGTGGGGCCTCAATCTGGGTTTTCTGGCTCTCAGTACTGCCACTCACTTCGAGGGCTTGTACAGCTCTAGCAAACTTTCTCTGGGGCAAGGCGAGGAACCTCAGGGTAGAAGGAAGAGCAGAGGGTACCAGCCCATGGGAAGAGCTGTGCATGCTGGGCTTGGCGAGTTTGCTGCAATGGGAGGAGGGGAAGGCAGCTCCAGCTGGGCCAAGAGCAACAAAAGCTCAGGAAGGCAGGCAGGAAGCCACACAATGAGACTGTGCACCCCACCTCCTGTCCCAGCATTCTCTAGAGAAACCTTGGTGGAGTAGGGAGGAGAGACCATGGAGCAGAGACTCATGTTTAAAACACAAAACAAACAAAAACACAGTTCTGACATTTAAGCTGAATTTCTACCTTAAGAAAAAAGTGTGTATTCTGTATGCCAAGCCCCTAAGAAAATATAATGCTTAAAACAATTTCTTCTCTTTATGCAACAACATGATTTGTTTGGTTAAGAGAATAAGATTTAGGCTAAAGAAAAAAGGCAACTGCCTGCTTTAATGCCACTGACAAGATTTTTTCAAAAAGAGAAATTCATAGATAAAAAACACTATGTTGATAACACTTTGAGGAACATGCACCACTATTCTCCTAGACTGGCTGGCTTTAAAGCATCACAACAGCCTGAGAGAAACTAACTACAACCGTAAGGTTTGCCTGAATTTCTAGACACAAACAGGGTTCAGCTCAAATTCCACCTCCAACAACGCTTTTCATGATCTACTGAAAAGTTGATCCTTCCCCCCAAATTACCTTCTGTTTCTTTTGCTTATGTTTATTTGTCTATACTATGTATTGCTTTTATTTCTTCGTATTCCCAGCATCTACCAAATGCTTGGAATATGGTAGGCAAAGAGTAGTGCTTTTTCATGGAATGATCAACAAAAGGGGAGCAAAAGTGTGTGAGGAGGGTAGGAGAGAGACATCACCAGAGCACAGTTAAATAAAGCCACATGATTTTTATTTCTACCTCATTCACGGGCATCTTAACTGACTCAATGCTTTAATGATAACATTTTAGTAGTATGAGAATTTGTTATTTCTATGTGGTATTGGAGTTCTTATTTTAATGGAGATCTAACAAAATATCAGAAGACATCAAAAACTTATGATTTCCTGGCTCGGCAATCCTTTAACTGATTCAGAATGTGAACCCCACTGAGGCTTACAATATTGTCTGTAGTACTTGCTATTAAAAAAAAAAAGACATCACCCTTTGTTCACCCTACTGATGAACTTTTTGGAACTGAAGATAGCCAGGTCCTCACATAGCAGACACATAATCCATCAAGTCAAATCAAAAAGCATTTTTTTTTAAACACCCAAGTGCTAGGCAGTACTCTAGGCAGCAAATAAAAACCAAAGGGGTTAAAAAAAAGGAGCCTTTACCCTCAAGAAGCCTTCATTTAATAGGCAAAGACAGCAAATAAAAAGGGGGTTAAGGGGGGTGCAAGGGAAAGGTACCTAAAATGAAGCCTGGTGGCAAAATCCTGATAGAGTCACATATTATAAGGCCTATACTATAACTTAAAGTCTCTACAGCTTGGCAGAACCTGCCAGGGCTTGTCTTCTGCTGGCATGGCCTCTGAAAACCCAAAGTCAACTCAACTTTCTAATGAGTCACTGGAGCAGGCCTTGAGTGGAAACATATTAATAGTTCATATTTGTAGAGACCTTTACAATTCACAGTGAGCTTTCCTGAACACAATAATGATGATAATGGTAACTGATATAGTACTTTCCGGTTTACAGAGCTGATTTTTCACATGATTACATGTAATCTCATTTGAAGACAATCCCGTAAGTCATCATGGCCATTTTAAAGGTGAGGGAACCAGTACGTGGACAGGTCATGAATTTTCCTCTGTAAGTATCAAAGTTCAGAGTCAAATTTGGGTCATCTAACTATTCAGTAGTCTACCACACTATGCTGTCTCTAAAGCAAATGCACAAATGGAATGTTACTGGAATCCAAACAGTATAGGACAGAAATTAACATAACCCTAGTTTGGCTAGTTTGGGACTCAGTTGCCTGGAGTATTGGGAGAATTTAAAGTCAAAGACCTGGCTAGGAGTACTTGACCTGAGATGGAGAGCAAGGTGGCCTAGGACAAAGCCAATCTCTGAATTTCATTTTCCTCATTGTAAAATATGGATTGCAACAGTAGAACCATATAATACTTCTTCTCTCACAGGGATGCTGTGAGGGTCAAAGGGAAAAATGTTTTTAAAGTGTTCGAAATGTATAAATAAAAACAATTATTTGGTGGAGTGAAGGTAAATTGGCTTTGGGATTAGCAGACCTAGGCTCTCATTCTCAGGCTGCATGACTGTGGCCAAGCCATGCCACTTCTCAGAGCATTAGTTTACTCAGATGTAATACAAGAATGGTGATGGTATTGCTTATAGTGACTCACAAGGTTGTTGGGAAGAAAACTCTAAAGAGTTGCAAAAATGTGAGCTATTTAAAAACATTAAAGCTTCCTCTAATGGCCTGCACTGGACATTACTATTCTGCCACCAAAGCTCAGTGCACTTTTTCATTCAAGACCAAAAACCATCGTCAGAAGTCTGGTTAATCAATCCTTAAACTCTACTGCCAAAGCTTTATAGCAAAGTTCAGGGTCAGGCGAGCACTGTTCAGTCTGAAAGATGCTTTTTTAGCCAAGAAGTTAAAGTTACAAAGGTGGTTGTTTTATATTTTATGGGAAGGGAATTTGATTAAAAGTTTAACTGTTAATTAAAAAAAAATTTAGCTAAGTTTTAGTTTCTTCAGTTTGCTTTATGAATAAAAGTAATTCCCTTTGTGATTGAGTATCCAATAAATATAAATTTTTAAAAAATAGAAGTCTAGTTGATTCAGGCATATTCATTAGATGATAAAACATCTACTGCAAAAAACGTTTTGAGGTTTCATTTTCTGTGGGCATAGATGTCTTGTTGCCATTGAGAGAATTCATCACATTAGCAGAACTATCCTGGTATTACAGAACTTCCCAAATACAGAAAAGACACTGTAACATGGCCTTCCAATATGCTACATGTCACTAAAGATTAAGAAATTTGTTTAAAAGATGCAGATAATCATTCATGCTTCCACTGCCTGGGAACTCATCTGATTTGAACCCCATTAAAATCTGTGGCAGGGTTGAGAACAATGGGATATAATTTGGTTGTAAAAAAATTATTAAAAGGAAGATTTTAAAGAAACCTGGGAAGACTTGTATGAACTGATACAGAATGAAGTGAGCAGAACCAGAAGAACAATTGACGTGATAACAGCAATGTTGCAAAGACAAACGATTTTCAAACACTTGAGAACTCTGTATCAATTCATTGACCAACCATGATTCCAGAGAATCAACCATGAAGCACACTCCCCACCTCCTAACAAAGAGCGATGGCCTCAAAAAGCAGAATGAGACAACACATTTTTGATTGTGACTAGTGCAGTTAATTTGTTTTGCTTTACTATCCACCTTTGTTACAAGGATTTTCTTTTTTTTTCAGTTGGGGGGAAGAAAGAAAAAATGCT